CATTATAATATTAATAGGATATACCGTAAGTCCAGCAGCCACGGAACTACAATTGGGTACTTGCCTTAATCAAAAATAAATTAGTCAAAGTCAAAGTCAAAGCATTTATTTCAATTAAACCATAGTTTGGTACTTTTGAAACGTCAACAAATACAAAATAAATAATAGTCTGTCAGTCAGTCCGTCAGTGAAATTAGGTGAAGCTAGGTGCTCATTCCAAAACGTAGATTCGAATGGAAAAGAACGAGCAAGAAACTCCATAACAAAAAACTTTCGTAAATCAATATTATGATCAACTTAATTTTAGTATCTATATTTCCAGCAATTTTCAAAGAAATAAGTACGCTATTTGACGCTAAAAAAACGTGACGTCACAATACACAATCTCGTACAAAATTCATAGAAAACTGTAGTTTTTGACAGTTCGAAAACATTAAGTATAATCGCGGGTTACTCACGTGAATATACTGAGAAAAGCTCTACTTGTTTCGAACCACAGAGGGTTTCTTCCTCATGAGCAGCGTGCGCGGTCGCGGCGACGTCTCAGCTCACTGTTCTGAGTATATTCACGTGAGTAACCCGCGATTTTACTTATTTAACTCGTCGAGTACCGGTTTTGTAGACACAATTATAGAACAATAGGTTGCGGTCACCGGTGACCGCTTGGTGTTTGACAGTTTAAGTTCGAAAAAAGTATTGAATTTGACTAATTATATTGGCAAGTACACAATTTATGGATCACATAAAGAGTTGTTCGGTTAGGGGAACAGAAACCCGTCACCACATGGTCTGAGTCAGATATAATTACAAATTGTACACGTTGCTGTTATAAATATTTGTTTTTCTGTTTTTTTAGTCGTAAAATTATCATGAATTTAACGTTAACGATTTAACTCGTCGAATACCGTCATTAGACACAATTATAGAACAATAGGTTGCGGTCACCGGTGACCGCTTGGTGTTTGAAAGTTTAAACAAATTTATTTTAAAGAAAACTAGCCTTTCTTGTGGTTTGTCGATATAGTTTAAATCTTTCAAATCAGTTAAAACTCAAATCTCAAATATCACTTTATCTACAAGAAAAGACTATATCAAAACACATTCAGCAGTTTTCTAGTTCATCGCAAACGTACAGACGAATATAAGAGACTTCGTTATTCAATGATTGTGATATTATAATATTTTATTAATTTTCCTCAATATTTTTAATTGTAAGTGTGAGTGCGACCCTGGCAGGAAAGTCGTTATTATTAGTATAAAACGAGATAAAGACTACCTCAGGTACTATTTTACCTTAGTACATTGTCTTGAAGCATTTAAGAAAGAAGTATAATACTATATTTTCAAAAATGAAGTTCCTGTGTCTCCTTATTATTGTAGCATTGGGTATTCAGTATATATTTGCAGCTGCAGCCACAAATAGACCTAAAAGTGAGTACTATTTTTTGTTCTATGTCGATTCCCGCACGGAACAACACTTTGTGTGATCCATAAATTGTTGTTTCGGGTCTGGGTGTCATGTGTATGTGAACTTGTATGTTTGTAAATGCACCCACGATGCAGGAGATAATCCTAGTGTGGGACAACGTTTTATAAAATAGAGAGGGGGGTAATTGGGCCTCCACTAACTTGACTCACACGACGAAACACAGTGCAAGCGCAGTTTGACGTCGGTTTTCTGTGAGGCTGTGGTATTGCTCCGGTCGAGCCGGCCCATTCGTACCGAAGCATGGCTCTCTTCCACTTAAAATGATACGATTGAGTAATTATTTTCTGCGCGGCGGCGTTTGGAATTTTCTCTCATTATTTTGCTGTACGTTAACCGTTTTATACTGTGAAGATGCATCAAATAGGGATGATACATGAATATGAAAATCGAAAATCTTACTAGTCCGTCAGTTACCTCGCTAATGAACAGACATGTATTTTTTATTTTGTCGTAAAGACAACAATGCTTAGATAAAACGAATCAAAGTTTAGGAGTGGGAGCTAGTTACGTCATTTCTACGTAAAAAGCGTACATAAAAGTGACGTCACGCGAGATATTTCAAATCAATATAATCGTTTGCCCTCGTTGGCCGAGGCAAGGGGTCTCGGGTTCGATTCCCGGATTGGGCAGAATATTACTGGGTTTTTTTAAAAATTCTCAAAAGTGTGTTTATTATAATTAATTTTAATGTATTTTACAGACAAAGCATGTTCGGATCCTATCTACACTGGAATGTGCTTTGCGGCAATTATTAGGTAAGCATGATTTTATACTGCCTCGTTGGCCGGGCTCAATTCCCGAGTCAAGCAAAGTATTAGTGAGGTTTTTAAAATTTTCAGTAGTAGCACGGAGCTTGCAATTGACAGCAATTGTGCCCGGTATATGGTAATAGGCTCACCCCCTATTATAAATAACATATATAGTGAAAACTGGGTGTAACATTGTACAGTGGTATTTAACTGTCAAACACCAAGCGGTGACCGGTGACCGCAATCTATTGTTCTATCATTGTGTCTATAATGACGGTACTCGACGAGTTAAGTGCCGTAATGTGTATCTCTGCCTACCCCTTCGGTGATAAAAGGCGTGATATTTTGTTATGATTTAAAAATGATAAAGGTCCGTGAATAAAACCTGGATTTTTTAATAATTTGAAATTATTATAAGTTTTAAATTGTCATCCCGCTTTGAGCAAGCGTAGTGATCAATGCTCATTCGTGTGAGAAGAGGCCCTTTCATATTATAATGATATAACTTAATGCCCACAAAATTGTGAATTAGGTACCTGTTAAGGTTTTAACTCGTCGAGTACCGGTTTTGCAGACACAATTATAGAACAATAGGTTGCGGTCACCGGTGACCGCTTGGTGTTTGACAGTTTAATGAATAATTTTGTATGGAACTAATGGCACCGACTTCTTACCTATCAGTGGGTGGGTAACCTATCAGTACTAATAATAGTTATTTTTTGCTTTTCAGTTTTGACTTTTTGTTTTTTATTAGTTTTTGGTTTTTGAAGTCGGTTTTTTAAACGCAGTTTTTATTTTATTATTATCTATCTTCTCACTCCTCACATGGAGTTTTTTTTTAAGTTTGCCCCACACTAGGATTATGTCCTGTGTCGTGGGTGCATTTACAAACATACAAGTTCACATACACATGACACCCAGACCCGAATCAATAATTTGTGGATCACACAAAGTGTTGTTTCGTGCGGAAATCGAACCCGCGACACGTTGCACGGCAGCCGGTTTCCCAGCCACCGCAACAACCGTGCAGTCATCATGCGGGCTTAAGGTGGATTGGCCATTCCAAACTTATAATTAGAAATAATAAGTCCAGGTTTCCTCATGATGTTTTCCTTCACCGTTTGTCAGTGGTGTCTGACTGAATAAACTTATTTTAATAAAAAAGAAATAAAAGAAGATATTTTATTTAAGTTTTTCATGTTTATAATATTCTGTTAAATATTTTCCAGGTATGCTTATAATGTAACTAGTAGAGACTGCGTCTCCTTCACTTACGGTGGATGTCAAGCAAATAGAAATAATTTTTTGACGAAGCAAGAATGCAGAGCTACATGTCTTTAACTAGAAACTTAGATTCTTCCAAGTTAAATTGAGATGGAATAGAATGTTTCTTCATTTTTAACTTCATTCATATCATATTCAGAGTCAAATCATCGTTTGTTTTATAAAGCACTAGCTTTTACTCGCGGCATCGCTCGCGTCACAAAAGGATAAAAATTAGCCTATGTGACATATACTAATACACACAGCGCCATCTATACCAATAATTTCGTTTTCCCTCGGAAATATCAAATTTTACTGGGATAAAAAGTACCCTTATTTAATTCAGACTTCTAACTTTACGTCTGCAAAAATTCAAAGCAATCGGTTTAGTAGTTACGGCGTGAAAGCGGAACAAACAAACAAACTCACTTTCCCGTTTATAATATTAGTAAGGATTGCCCCCACACTTGGATTTTCTCCTGTGTCGTGGGTGCGTTTACAAACATACAAGTTCACATACACATACAAAGAGGAAAGAAAGAAAAACCGTTTATTCTTGCGCAGAACACACATAACATATAATATAAAGCAAGGGTAAAATGACACCCAAACCTGAAACAACAATTTGAGGATCACACAAAAAGTTGTTCCGTGCGGGAATCGAACCCGCGACAGTCACCGCACCAACAGTTCAGTCAAAGTAAAAGCATTTAACACTTTTGGAACGAATTTTATGTTTAACGGCTGAATCGAATGAACTGAACGGTTTGACAAAGCAAATATGAGCCCCTAGCGAGGCTGGAAAGTGGTCTAGTTACCTCGTCAAACAATTGAGATGATGACTCGAATCGACATTTTGGAACGAGCGCCTAGCTTCACTGACGGACAGACTGACAGACTATTATATATCTCATATTTGTTGACGTTTCAAAAGTACCAAATTATGGTTTAATTGAAATAAATGCTTTTGAGTTTGAGTTTGAGTTTTGAGTTTGACAGGGTATGAAAATTAAAAATCTAATTAGTCCGTAAGTTAGGTAAATAAAAAATATGAGACAAAAGGAATCCAAGTTTAGGAGTGGGAGCTAAAACGTCATTTCTACTTATATAAAATGTACATAGAAGTGATGTCACGCGACATTTCAAATCAATGACGTCAAAAGTATTCGTTTTTGTAAGAAAATACAAAATACGTGTCTAATGATTTAAAAAAATCTACCAGACGGACATTAAAATAAAAATTAGGCGTCTGATTTAGACTTTGTTTCGTTTTATCTAAGTGTTGTTTTATTATACGACAAAATAAAAAAATACGTGTCCAATATTTTTTCATTGCCTAACTTACGAACTAATTATATTTTTAATTTTCGTACCCTGTCATCATCCCAATTAGGTATGTGTTTTTTTTAATTCATCATGAACGTTGCATAATATTAAATGTTTCTTCTGTTTGTGTCAATTATGAGTTTACCTTAAATATGGTTTTTTTTTATAGGAAATATTAGTGTTGTTGTAAGAACTATTCTCTTGTGCATGATGTGTTAGCCTTTTAATTGATTGTTATATTGGCAAATGTATATTGTAAACCGATTTGTTGTAATATGATGTATAAACAGTCGTTGACTGACCCCCTATAATATAAATAAATAATAGTTTAATAATTAGATAACTTATATTACTGTGCGTTTTCAAATAAATAAAAAACATTATGACAGCGATTTTATAAACGTATTTTTTATTTTTCCTTTTTTCTTTATTAATACAAGTAATAGACACTATCATATAGTAGAATGCATGTGTGTCAGCTTGGAGTTGTCATGCTCACTCAAAAGTCTCATTGCCAGTGGTACGGGCAGTGGATCGCTCGATTCCCTACAACATGGTTGAGTTGGGCGGTGCTGGTGTACGTGTCATGTTTGTGAACGGGCGCTGTCAAATGGGACTGGTCGGCTCCAGACTGTATTAAATGACAATGCCAGATCCTGACCCAGTCATAATATCATTTACAAAGAAAGTAAATTGGTGAAAATAATTTCAAAAAGAAGTTCAATCTCGGAAATACTTTTTTGCAATGCGTCTTCCATATTGTCTAATGACTATTTGCGTTACATCACACGCATCGCTTGTACAAAACTATGAAAATAAAAAAGTAACTGTAAAAAAGATATCATTGTACATAAAATATTATTATATCAACAGTATAATTAAAATATATGAAATCACGAAAATATAAAAGAAACGATTACTATCATTAGTTATGATTTTTTTGTGTAACGAAACGTTTTGAAGCGCTCGTCAGCTGTCAGTTGTCAGTGTCAATATTATCTTTCATTCGCTTTCTGCGTTTCTGTTGTTTTCGCGTTATTTATCATTATTGTTTTGTGTTTTAAACAAAAACCGCAAGGTTTTACAGGTTTCCAGACAAATGTTTAGGTATCGGTAATTAATACACTACACGATGCTGAATACTGCATACTTGTACATGACTTCTAATATAGTGGGTCAAAGATGTACTGAGCACCTGTCATTGTCCTGTCCTTTGTTGTCCTCAAGGTTATTTTCTTTTTTCGTCTCCTTAACCAAATATTGGTATTACATTGTTCTCACATAATTGAACTCAACGAAAGAATGTAACCAAAAATTGTATTGTGAACATGATTGAAACAGAGTTTCTTATTCGTTCTTCTCCATAGGAATTCTTCTCTAGAGGACTGACTTACAACCTGACATTTTTTCTTATTATTTAATATTTAAATATTTCGTTTTGACGTTCAAATGTCCCTTTCTGGTCTAATTGAAATAAATGATTTTGACTTTGACATGAACTTCCTTTTCTTTGGTATTTTTTTGTTTGTATGCTATAAGCCGGTAAACGAGCGGATGGATCACCCGATAGTAAGCAATCGGCGTCGCCCATGGACATCAGACACGGAGTTTGGAACTGTGCCCGGTATATGGCAAAAGGCTCGTATCGCACCCGCTATTACATGGGACTCATAACATAAATAGTGAAAAGTGGGTGTTACATTGTAAAGTGGTATAATGTAATACCCACTCTACTTACTCACATACTCACACCTCTGTCTACCCCTTCGAGGATAAAAGGCGTGATGTTATGTTATAAGATACGATAAAAAATTCTCATAGTAGCACGGAGTCTAGAAATGTGTTCGGTAAATAGACTCACTCACCCTCTATTACATGGGACTCATAACATAAAAGTGGGTGCTACATTGTACAGTGGCAGGAAGTGCCGTAATGTGCACCTCTGCCTACCCCTTCCGGGATAAAAGGCGTAATGTTATATCTATGTTTACATCATTCTAATGACGAACAGACTTAGTATTTCGAGGGCAGAAAAAGATATAAAAAACTGTGTTCGATAAAATTTTTCGCGGTGGCCCAGAGGTTTAAGACCCGCTTCTCATGCATGAGGGTGCGAGTTCGAAACCTACTAACGGCAAGTACCAATGTGACTTTTTCCGAGTTGTATATACTTTCTAGGATATTAATAATAATAATAATAACAATAATCTGGCAACACTACAAACGTCAACTTGTGAAAATTTTACTCTGCTTTTATATAAATAATTTATACATATTCCTTTCTGTTTTCGTTTCTTCTAATATTTATCAACAATAGAAAAACCTTTTTGTTTTATAATAATACGCCATAATTTTACAATACTGTAAACTAAGAAGAAAATATTAAAAATGAAAATGACAATGACAGAATCAACAACTTCAAAAATAAATCTAATAAAGCAATCGTTTGATTAACAATGTTGACGAGAGCCAGATGCAGACAAGACGCACCCCCACCACCTCCGGACTCGTCGCTCAGCTCCGCCTCGCCATCACCGGAACCCCGCTCCGCTGGATCGCCGGTGACTGCAGTTGCGTCGAGCTCGAGCGACGACTATTTCTCCCCACCTACGTCGCCACCACCTGTACGTCGGCCGGGGAGAGGCCGGCCACCGACTGGCTTGGGAACCAGGGGCCATCAGGCCCTGGGACGGGTCCCCGCTACCGGTGGTTGTGTGCGGCGCATGAAATGGTCTCAAACCATAAATGAGAACGTCATGCGCGCATACTACGGTGCTACAGAGGGAGGAACTAACCTCACGGCGTACCGCGAAAGGATGCTGTCTATGTTTCAGGTGCTTGAACCATCTGTCAACGTCTCGGCCCAACGACTGTCGGATCAAGTGCGGGTTATCCAACGCAATTGCAGATTGGATGAGGCTACACTTGATCGGCTACGCCTTGAAGCACTGCGCAACCGTGTCGTCCCCGCACCACCACAATTGGTGGCACAGACACCTGTAGTGTCACAATGTGTGACATCGACCACCCCTATCGTTGGAGTGGAGGACGATAGGGTTGAACAAGTGAGTACTCAGTGCAATGAACGTCTAAGGAGTGCTTTGGAGGATGCGGTTCGTGAGTACAGACTTGCTCCTAGTGATTTACGACCAAAATTACCACGTTTGCCCATGTGTAGGAAAAATAGGGCGCTGGTGAGCGCCTTGGATTCGCTACTTAAAAAATATTTTGAGAGTAGCGAAAACCTCTATGATACACACTCGATCTTGTACTGTGGGGCGGTTGCTGCTTGTCGAGTGGCTAACGTAAGATTCCCAAATCTTGACGCAGCAGTCCGACCAAAACCAGCAGTACCTGCCTGGCAGTATAGGATAGAGCGTCGTATCAGTGAGGCCAGGGTACTCATTGGCAAACTATCCTGCTTCAGGGAGGGCAATACTCGTCCTAGAGTGATGCGCTTTGTAAGACGTGCATTTGTGGGGACTGAAACCAGTCCTCATGAATACCTGTCACGTGTTACAGAGCGCATCGACTTCCTGAAGCAGAAAGTTTATGCATGGGCAAACCGTATTAGACGTTACAAAAAGAGAGTGGAGCGCTATACTCAGAATCGCATGTTCCAAAGAGATCAGAGGTGGGTATACAGAGATTGGGAACGATCCAACCAAGATGTGGCTGACGGGCGGCGACCGGATGATGATGCCACTAACACATTTTGGCGCAACATCTGGTCGGTACCTGTTAGCCACACAGAAGGTGACTGGATGTTTGATGTTAAGCGAAGGTGTGAGACTATACCAGAGATGGAGGAGGTAGAAATCACCTCCTCTGATGTAGCCAGTGCAGCCTGTTCGGTCCCGAATTGGAAATCACCGGGGCCGGACGGACTGCACAATTT